TGTGTATGTAGAGAAATGTATTTAACTTGTACATCACGAAAATTAAAAGAGCAGTTATGTTGAACAAACTAAAATAATAGAACAGATTTATAAAATCGTTCAATTAAGGTGACAAAACAATTCTTTAACAATACTAATCTCAATAAAACCCAAAAATCGTACATTACAAAGTCAAATGTTCTATAAAAAAGTAATTATATCCCTGTAGTGTTTGAAAAAGTATTAAAACCATACAATATAACCATAGTTCCAGTATTTAATACAATTATTGTTCAAAATATTGATATAATACAACAAAATAATGTTATAGGCTATACTGTATATGGAGTTTCCTGCTGTCGCCATCCGAATTATCAATACATAGGTGAAACTGGAAGAGCCCTAAAAATCAGACTAAGAGATCATTTGCACACTATAAAATTACACTAATTCAGCAGTAGCCATACATTGTAATGGAGAAGGTTGCAAGATCTCACTTGATAATATTAAAATCCCCAAAAGAGTAAAATTATTATTAAAAGGAAATTATATGAATATATTTAATTTAATTTCATACAGCACCCTTTTATAAACAAATTTTAAGAGTATATCTAGTTAATTACCAATTTTTAATTTCAATTTGTATTCAACAACTAGTTTATTTAAGTACAAAAAAAATTGTTAAAAACATTACTTGTAAATACCTATGTGTGATTTAGTTTATAATTGTTATTAGTTCTGATAATATCTGTATAAAAAATGACTGAAGTGGAGTCATTAAGACCTAAGTGCGTATTCACATCTAGTAAAAAAGTCTTTATCAATAAGAATTACTTGTGTAATTTAAGTTACTGAAAAAAAGCCATAAATTTTAGTCTTAAAAAGTCTACAGAAACTGGTATTAGAAACTATCAATCAAAGTCGCAGGTGTTCAAAATTGACAATGAGCCAAGGGAAGGCAATATTCATACAGCTGTAACGTTATACTTACGTGTTAGTTATTTGATTTTTTCGCTTATATAGTTTTACCGTGTGTCTATTTTTTTTTATTATTCCAGATCAACCTGAAATACGGATAAACGGAATTCCACTGTAGTGTTAATTTAACGAATACGGACGCCTAATTTACTTTTTATACGAACGAATATATGAAAACTTTTCTATATTTTAAATCTTTTCTTTATTTGAGAACTTTTCATATTAAAAAATAATTACATTAAATGGCTAATATTCTGTGTTTGCCTGATCGTGCGCGTGTAAAAAACGCACACGAACTTTAACTAAGTTGCACACAACCATTAGATTTATTAAAGCCTACTAAAATACAAGAACCTCGTGATTGCTGTAAACTGTACAATAGAGGAAGCATAATGCATTCTTTGTCAGGGTAAAGTTTATTTACGAACTGAAAGTAATCTGTTATTGTTAATTAAAGGAAAATTTCTGGAAATTTCTAGACTTTTATACAATAACGTTTTTGACAAAAACAAAAATACTGTATATTCTAAAACATAATTGCTATTACATTCGAGCACCTTGTTCTGTCGTTTCGATGGGTCAACAGATTTATAATGAATAAAACTCTTGCTGTTATGATCGAAGAACTTTGTAAATGCGATCTTTATCTACAATTTGTTAAATATTTGTCTACGAGGACTAAGCTTATTAATAGGACGTATTGCACTGGTGTTTGGGTTGTTGAGAACCGTGGAAAAAACTTATTCAAAGAAACAATCTATCTTTGTTTTCACCATTAAAGATAGATTGTTTCTTTGAATAAGTTTTTTCCACGGTTCTCAACAACCAAAACACCAGTGCAATACGTCCTATTAATAAGCTTAGTCCTCGTAGACAAATATTTAACGAATTGTAGAATAAAAGGACATAGAAGCATAAGAATTAGCGATCTCTATCTGTTGATGCGTATGGTCCTTCTTTCTCATAAACAAAGCTTACAATGTTCACTCGAACACACAAAAACCGAGTGTCTCGCTCGTTTCGCGCCTGAACAGGAGTGGATTGGCTACCACCAGCCGCTGCAGCACGACATCCAATAGCACGAAAGACATTCCTGAGCGTTGCTTGTTTTCGATTTCCTATTGCCCAGTTGTAAATTTACTGAACCAATCGTAGATAGAAGAGTTGGAGACGATATTTATGACAAACGATTGCATCATAGGACGATATATATTCGGCTTATTTTATACCAAGTTGATAATAGTAAAGAGCATACGTGCGAATTTTGTCACGAAAAAGCCTTGGCAAAGTTGACGTACATAAGTAAGTACCCTCTCTCAGAAAGGCATTTCTATTCCCCACAAAAACTTCTGCAAGAACTAACTGCTGGAGATCAGTTTCAAATATTCTAAGAGTGTAGAAAATTCCGGAAAATCTGCATCAAGCCAATATTTTTACTTACGTTGTCTGAAATACCATGTAAATAGGCATGAAAAGTAGTCAAATTGTACAGTAAACAAAGGTATGGCGTCTAATTTTCTAAACCAAGCCTTAATTTAACCCGAAACTGATTTGTTTAAAAGATCTTTTTATAAAAATAATTAATTTTTAACAAATACTTAATGAGAGGAGAAAGGGGGCAATAAAATTCTACTTCTACAGCATTTGCACTTCAATTTCACCCTTCCAGAAAAGTTAGTCCAACTAAAAAGTATGCGATCTAGCTAGCTACTTCAGCCCCCCTTGTTCAGAAAAGAAAAATATATACTCTGAGCAATTAGTCTGGCTCATTCAGAAAAATAGAGTACTTATTTAGAGCAGGGATAATAAANCTAATTTTCTAAACCAAGCCTTAATTTAACCCGAAACTGATTTGTTTAAAAGATCTTTTTATAAAAATAATTAATTTTTGTTGTAAAATTTTATAACGTATTTACTTACCTTAAAAACTAGTTTTAAATGCAGACTAACCGTTTTGAATTTGGTAAATGTCAACACTTTCTATTTGAAGCAGTATTTTAAAAGAACACTACGGCTACTGTTAGAAATAAGTAATCTTAGCCGATAAGCCGACTTATTGCGCTTCTGTGTTAGGTCGATAGCCAAATGATTGATATTTACATGTAGGAAAAAATTATTAAACCATTTACTGCTTTATATTTAAATAACTTGGTTCTTGTAAAACATTGCAATTTCACAATTCCGCTATTTTTTAGCAATTAATCGAAGTTATATTCAGGTCTAGATATCTTAATGCAGTATATTTTTATGAAAGAAAAATTATTTTCTGTTTATTTCGATACAATTTAAAAACGTTTATATAGGACTTTAGATACATAAATTATTTTGTAAATTTTCTATATACAATAAAGGCAAATTTTTATTTCTGTAAGATGTTATCCTAAATCATTTAAATCTATATTAATAAGTGGCGATGTTTGTTTGATTGTTTGTTCGCTATACACTCCTAGGCCGTTTGACCAATTGCTACGAAACTTGGCAGTTACGTTCAAATGCTTCCAATTTGAATCATGTCGTATGACTCACCGTAAATTATAAACTGGATTTCCATTTATAGATTAATTTCTGTCTACATTCGATTACTGGCTTTACATATAGCGCCTTCTTTTGGAAAAAAAATTAATAAAAAGTTAATTAAATATAATTTTTATCAAAAAAGATATAATTTTAAAAAACATACATTATATTCACTGAATTACTGCGACAATGATGCAGCGCGAAATAAATGCGCCATTACGCCATTACTACGATAGGTAGCACGTAGCACTTGCCTGCGTGGAGTGTAGTAGTGTTTTGCCCCTAAACATCATACTTTTCCTCTTAACAATAAACTCATATAGGTCATCTATCTAACTTTGTTCGGGAGGAAATTTTAAATCGATGTACAGTGACTTCTGGTCAAAACCAGATTCTCCCATACAGTCCGAGTGTGATAAACTTTCAATCTAACACATTAAAAATTCTNATCGCAGGGGAAGACCGGTTTCTAGACAGATGTGCATCAGTTACCGTAAACATTCAAATACATCACGAAATTTTCGATCATGTATACTTTTTCAATAGGAGGAAACCGCAAAAATTGTCCAAAATTTAAACTTTCATTGGGTATATAATTTCAAAATTTTGTGATGTCATAAACAACATCCAATAGAATACAAAATAAGCTTTTCCCGAGTAATATCGTGCATAGAACGTTTACGAGAGAGTTTTTTATTGTTGCCCGAGTTAACTCGGGCGAAGAATACGCAAGCGCTCTTCTTGCCCGAGTTAACTCGGGCGAAGAACTTAAGGGGTTAAAAATATATAAGTTGATAGTAATTATCCAATCAACAAATAAAGTAACAACTACTAGAAATTTACACGACTTTATTATGAGCAAATAACTACCAGAATTGTTTACGTTCAATATTTATTTCACTGATTCAGATAGGTAAGTTTGTCTTCTAGCTACACGTTGAGGCTTGTAGACGAAAGGTCAAGTAAAAAATGCCAGTTTGCCTGAAAATAATAGCAATTACGAAATACTAATTATAATAAGCGAAATTTTAACTTGTATATTTTTGGAAGAGATAATTCTGACAGCATTAAACGACTGATAAAATAATTTTGCTTACATAATAATCGAGCATTATCGTGGTATAAAGTGGTGATTTGTCATTAATGGCACTATTAAAAGGACAGAAATTCCTAAAGTTTTCTGTGGAGGTCTCTTGGTGCCACACAGCTTTCATTTTCGCTGAAGGACAAGCCATATATTCTTTTAAAACATTTCTGGCTTCTGTCTATAGATGTTATGCTTAAGCAACTCGTTACTGAGTTTTTTATAAGTTGTGTAACAAATGCTATTTTTACTTACAGATTATTGTAAACTTGGCACAATGAAATTAGATTTCATAAGAATAAAATTATCAGAAGTTTTTAAACGTTTGGGAACGACGATAGGAAGACATCCATACTTCTTCATAATCATTCCCATATTGTTTTCAGTTTGTTCAACAGTCGGTATCTTTAAACTTGCTTATAAAAGAAGTTTAATTGACACTATGAAGGCCGATAACGGAAAGTTTTTTTCTGTACAACGGTTTACTGAAGAAACGTGGAAAACTGCGTCACTTGCCGATGAAATCAGACTTTCAGAACTTCCCGAATGGGTAGTGTTATTATTTACGAGGAGCAACGGAGGAAATATGTTAAAAAAAGAAGTCCTTCGAGAGTTACAAGTAGCTGATTCAATAGTTAAAAATTACACCATCCAAGTGTTTAATCGAACAATTGGATATGGTAATATCTGCGTTAAAGTGCGTAACAGATGTTACGAAAACGCATTTGTCGAAATTATCTCCGATGCGGAAAACGTGCTAAATGGAAAGAGAAAGTTCAAATATCCGGTGGACATCGACACCTTGACCTATTCTTATCGCTCGTACGTCATGAATTTGGGAGGTGTTAAAACCGACGAAAATGATTACGTCAAAAGCGTGGAAGCCGTCCGATTCGTTTACGTAATTAACAAAACTGACGAAGAAAGCAATGGACTTAGAGACAAATGGGTAACTGAAGTTTATCGACGAATACAAAATTATAAGTTCCGAAACATCAAACTTTTAATAAATGCGTTCTGGTCCATAGAAGAAGATACTAAAGAATTCTTTTACAATTTAAAACATCTGATTGGAGCCATGGTATCGTTTATTTGTGTTTTCTCAATGGCGACACTCATGAGTCAGAATTTGATAAGAAGCAAACCTTGGATGGGATTAGCTTGTGTTTTGTCTGCAGGAATGGCAGTCGTCACTTCATTCGGATTAATGGGATATTGCGGAGTAGAGAACACTTACTGTAATATATTGGTTCCTTTTATTGTATTAGGTATGATATTTTTATTGAATTTTATTTTATAATAGACAAATGTATAATAATAATGACTTCCTGTGTTACAGTTACCGAAGTAGATGACAGTTTCGTGCTGATAGCGCGATGGAAAATAACCGATCCCGAAAAAGGTGTAAAAGAACGAATGTCAGACACTTTCGCTGAAGCCGGGGTGTCAATCACCTTAACGTCAATCACTAATTTGTTTTCTTATTGCATCGGAATGACTGCACCAATTATCGCGGTGAAAATCTTTTGCATTTACAGTGCGACGTGCATATTCTTCACATATGTTTTTCAAATAACGTTCTTTGCTGGATGCATGGCGTTAAGCGGGTATAGAGAAGAGAAAGGTCTTCATCCAATTACACTCAAATCATATGGTAATTTTAAATACTTTAAACTAATTAACTTAAATCTGGTAAGTGTTCTACTTTAATATGCAAACACTGCCATTTCAATCAGCACACCATTACCATCGTTTACTGTCATCTGTAGCCTTATTCAATGTATAGTTATTAGTAACATAAATAATGTGTATATTTGATAAATATTCCGCACTGTGTGCGTCATTTGTTTCTCACAGCAGTGACAGACTAAGCTCTGTCAATGGAGGCTCACTCTACAAACAACACTACATTCCAATTTGTTACGGTTATTATCTATACTTCTATATCACTGGAAAATCTTTTTGTCTCTGAGACCTTATGTAGAAACTATCTTCAGAATGAGAATACAACCACTGATCATTAGAAACAGAACATTCTTAAATGGAATGTTTTCGAATTTCTACATTTGATCATATTTAAATACAAATTTTGAAAAATAATTTTAATTGTATTTTAATTATTAATAATGCTGAACCATCAAAAGTTAAATGAACGTACAACAAAAGAAAATAACCAATATAATAAAATAAGATGAAAAATTTATAAATAATAAAAAAAAACGAGTAAACATGTTGATGATGTACCCTGAATACACTAAGATTAGGTTAGTACGTTAAGAGAATATTTTAATATACTCGTATATTTACGAAAAATATTATATAAGTTTTTAGTTTTTTAATTGTAATCTTAAACTTTGATTTCTTTGTTTATAACTCCTACGGAATTAAAGAATCTTCATCACTTTTTCTCTTATAAAAATATTTATTTTCCATTATGCTGTACTAATTAAATAAGATCAAAAATAAATTTAACGTAACGTGGAAGTCCACATCATTCGCCATTTCTTGTATTTTTTGTATTTCTTTCTCGCTATCCCTGGCAGTCAGCGTTTGTATTCCTTTCAAAATGCTAGCAGTTTCGTCCCTTCAAGCAGCATCTAACCGGATTAAAGATCTTGAATACGCCTGTAATGAACTATCGTATTTTAAGTTCATCTCCACCATACATTTCCAAGCTGATAGCAAGCGTTAGTGTGCCTAGTATTCACACTTCTATCCATTACTTTACTTTTGTAAATTTCTATCTTTTCTTTGTTTATTGCTTTGAACTGGTTTCTTCATGCAGATTTTTCCCATTTAAGAGTTCAGCCTTTTATTTTCTCCAACGTGAACAATGCAGAGCAATATTGGCGATACTCGATGTTGCACTTGTGCTGGTGAATGGTTGTCTCTTTAATCCGAAAATAATTTCGGGTTAAAGAGACAGCCATTCACTGAATGAATATACAGCTACAATTAGTAAATTCTTAATTTTTGTTTTATGAGGGATTCTGTATACAACTACACGTTTTTCTTTCACGATTTTGTCTTTCGTTCTGTAAAAGTGATACTTAAGTGAATACTCTTTGAAACTCGGTTCTGAAGCTTTATCATACTAAGTCGTATCTTTGTTATAAATGAACTTAAAGGACAAAATATGTAAGAAAAAGTACTTTATCTGGTTTATTTATAACTTTTAATAAGTTTTTCGATCATAGATGTACCATAAATCAACTTTTCAGCGATACCTTTAATTTTATTAAACCTCTTCTCTATCACATTTTATTACAAAGCTTTTTATATTTTTTACTATCATAAAATGGCAAAATACATAATTTTGAGTGTAAGGATGAGTTTTATAAAAAAAAATTGTAAATGCTAATAACAAGTAAATTTGTCATTAAGTCCGACTTTACTGGAGATACACACGACTCCCTTTATCTCCCCAACCCTTTGACCTTTAATCACCAAAATTTAATGGCAGCAATCCTCCTAATAAACAAACTTCCGTTCCGAATTTCAGAAATTTTCGACGAAAATCACGAGAGTTATTAAGCTTCAAGTAGGGCTAGCAAAATCGTGTCCCCCATACACACTAACATTCATACATACAGAAATAACCTCCATTTTTTGCATTTCTCGACGTTTCAAGATGTCCGAAGTCCAAAAATGTAAAAATTTGGGTGAGTCATTTTCTGACCGATATTCACACTGTTATATTCCTTCTTCATTTCGAGCACTTATCAGACGAGCTTCTCTAATTTACTCAATGTGTAGGTGATTGTCGTCTTTTCATCACCTTCTGAAAAATTCTCTCTAAACATTTCATTATAAATAATCGTTTAAATTATTAAAATTAGATAACGTTTTATATATTATAAAAACTCATTAATTTGGATTAAAGTAACATAAAATTCACATAACTGAAATAGAATTCAAATTTTATTAATTGATTCATTTCCAGCACATAAAGATTGTCAAGAAATCCAAGAAAATGAAGACTTCTTCATGAGAATAATTAGAGATAGATTGGGAGACTTCCTTTTCCATACATCAACGAAGACGATTGTATTGACTCTGTATTTAATCAACTTAGGATTTGGAAGTTACGGAGTGTATTTTCTAAAGCAAGGATTGGATTTTCAAAACATGTATCCAGCAGGTTCAGAAATATACGAAAGTTCACGAATATATTACAAATACTTCACTGAATACTCATTTCCTGTTCAGATAATCATTAACAAAACTCTCGATTATTCGGATGAACACGTTCAGAAATCGGTGAAAGATCTTCTTAAAAGATTTGAGTCTCATCCTCACATAGCCGAGTCTCGTTTTACGGTTTCCTGGCTGAAATATTACGAAGAATTTCAGAGAAATCCAGTTGCACAATATGCCTTAAGAGGATACAACATGTCGGACAAAAATGATTTCATGGAAGGACTTCGAGTTTTCTTGCGATTTAAAGCAGCCGAGCAATTTTCAAACGATTTGGTGTTCAGCCCGGATGGATCCGAAATTACGTGCAGTCGATTTTTTGTTATCACGAAGAAAATTTCCAACAGAGATATTGAAATCGAAACAACGAAAGAATTTATGAATATTGCGGATGAAGCACCTTTTCCGGTCCTAATTCACAGCATATTGTCAAGTATGATAGAACAGGGAGTAATCATCGAAGGTATAGCTAAGCAACTGTTTTGGATCACTGGGTTATTGATCGCGATTGTATTTTTCAGTGTAATACCAAATATCTTTTGTTCTCTTGTGGTGGCAATTTCTGTTGTTTCTACCACAATAGAAACTATAGGTTACATGAGTATGTGGGGCATTAACTTAGATATATTATCTTTGTCGAGTTTGATTCTTTGCATCGGATTTTGTGTTAATTATCCGGCTCATATTGCATATGCCTTTGTGACGTCAACTTGCAAAACACCGAAAGAAAAGATGAGGGATTCGTTGTATCGCGTAGGGTTTCCCATAATTCAAGGAACTTTATCCACTATTTTAGGAATACTTTTCATATATAAAGAATCGTACGTATTACTGACATTTTTGAAAGTTGTGTTTATAATCACAATAGAAACTGCCTTTCACGCTTTATTTTTTACCCCAGTCGTTCTTTCTTTGTTATTTTCTTGTTCTTGCTTGAGAGAAAAGATTAAGATTAGAGAAGCAAGACAGGAATTAGTTCACTTAAAAATTGGTCGGCAATAACTAATTACTGCATCTACTATATTATAGCATTACGTTATAACGCTTTTATTATATACTCGGTGCAAACTGTGACTTGTCCATTTTCGATATTTGACTGTATTATATTGCGGTTGTTTAATTTTAAATCATTTAATTCTGCTGTGGTGTATTGGTTAATCCGGGTTATTCGTAGCTTGCTGTTATTTATACGAGGCAATTCTGTTGGCATTATTTTGTTAATGTTAAATTTGACTGGCTGAAATAAAACCAATGTTTTGAATATATTTAGTCTGTTGATTTCTACAGATAAATTATTCAATAAATTTATCGAAAATAAAGTCAAAAATTATCTTACGATTCGAGGTATATTGGAACGTTCCGTCCCAGGTGATCCCACCACCACTTCTTGCTGTACTTGCGAGAGCATACCAGCAAGTTCCACCGAATTCAGTGCTACACTCTACATGACCTTATGCACCATAACCATAAAGGTTATACCGGTAGCTTATAGTGCTATGTACAGTACTTAGTGCTAATTGTAAGGCCCCGGAAATAACCCCCCAAAAAAGAAAGATATGTAAAAATTTGTTAAGTTAAACCGTCAAGAAAACAAATTATATAAGTGTAGAAACGGCGACACCGGACTTTGACGTCGACGCTCATAAAGAGTAGAAGGAAAACATAATTTTAGATATAAAAGCAGAAAATTAAAAATATTAAAGCTAAGACGCAGTTTAGAAAGCAAAACGAAACTAGAAAAAAATATCAGAATGAGCGTGGGTGTCATAGTCAACAATTAAACGCGATCAGAGTCGAAAAGATGGTGTCGGATAAACCATCTCCAGCCGACCTTTCCCGCGAACTTTACGATGGTCCATTTACACCTGGAAACAGGTGGAAGACTAATTAAAAAACGATGATGTAAGGTCTGTCCAATTAGCAAAAAGCCTATCTCGAAAAACTTATAAAAACACCAATTCCAAGGACAACGAGGTTTCCACTAAGACTTCCACTAGACTTCTGTTGTGTTCGTGTACCTCCGTTTTTTGAGACCTCCGTTCATCTTTCGTGTACTGTCTCTCGAGACTTTGAACTTTTTAATCCACACTGTCCAGGGGCCCATACGACGCTGGACCAGATCGCCGCCGGAAACCACTACGACGTTGGACCAGATCGCCGCCGAAAACTCCTACGACGCAAGATCTGATCACAACCGAAATTCCTACAACACAGGACCAAATCGGATCCGAAGACATCTTGAAGTTCGGAATCTAAGGACCTTTCCAACGAAAAAATTTATGTAAGTGTTTTCGATCAAGAATAAACGGTTTGCCTCTGTAAAACACTCGTCTTTTGCGCCTCTCAAAACCGCCACCCACATACTCGTAGACCATCCCGACGTTAAGAAATAAAATTCCCCACCAATCGGCGTTCTTACATAATGTACCGTCCTATGTACTGTACTGACTGCTATGCACTTTACATAATAGATTAAAACAGCAGCAGGATGTTTATGGACACTACTGCTGCAAAACCTTGTGTTTTCCTCGATTAAAAGGAAGCATCATAAAAACCTATAATAAACCTGTATATAAATAAAACCTACATAAACCAATATAAAATTTGTTTTATAAGCGCAATGTAGGGTAATAACGATCACTTGGTACGATTCACTTCTTTATTTCAATTTTCGTTGACCCTTGACACTAGGGGACCCATAGCTTAAGTCCTATAAATCCCTATGTAGATCTGCCCCTACACGTAGCCCCTACACATTGCTTTTATTATAACGAATAATTCATATCTGTTAATGAAAAAGAGTCTAAAAAATGAAGATGGTGGCGTAACTTTATCAGTGTAAACGTAAAAAACAAATTAAACACAAGAAGCAATTATTTATTGTGACATCATCACGATGTCGGGCTGCAATTTTTTTATCATATTTTTTAAATTTATTTAATTTAAAACATATTTTTACCACCTGAAATTAGTAGTGGCTTGCATTGCTGACGTTTTTAGAATAATTTCAACCTTTCAATGTAATGTTCAGGGAAGTCTTATATTTAGGATAAATCCAGGGTAAGACTGACCTGTAATCTGATGCTTTTACCCACAAGATTCGCCGGAATAAGTTTTAGCCTAAAATCGTTCTGTTTTCTCCTATAACTGGAAGGTTTTAGGATGAGACAACAGAAGCTTAAGAAATAAAGCAGATTGATTGGTGCTAGGTACACAGGTGTGCTGTACATTACACTCGATTAGGATTTCGCTTTTCTCAACCTTCAAGCCTTGGGTCATTGGCAGACTACAGTACAGGTACAACTTTGAATGACGTAAAAACTTTAGTTTTGCATTATACAACACTGAAATTGCCGGTACTAAATATTGTTCTATTTGAACCTTCAAAATAAATATTAAAACCAAATATACATATGTAAATAAATGAATTTTTATAACTGATCATTTACGTATTAAAGTATGTTTAAAGTCAAATGAATGGCTTATTTAATTTTCTATATTCAGCTAAGATACACAACACACGTTGAAAGTGAATTAATTAAAATTAAGTTAAATAATTGTATTCCTTAGACTTATGTATATATTTTATCATAATTTAAAGACTAGGTAAAAGTTTTGTCGTTTGTTAGGATTACCAAACGAAAACATCAATTATCTTCATACCAGATGTAAATTAATGCCTCTGATAAAAACGTAAAAATCCTAAGACATTTTAGTTATTAAGATTTTTAAAGAAATGAATTAAGAATTGTTTCACGATAATAGTACAGGTATCTGCGTCGTAGAATTGTTCGTCTTATTTATTTTTATCCGAGCATGCGATCCAGCTCGAAGAGTTTTTCTCAATTTAGGATGATGTAGGGTGAAACGAAGGCGTCGTCTGGGAAGATCCAGTAGAAGTAGGCTGCAGCACTCGTGGCTTGCCCTGTACCTTCTTTTAACAATAGAGTCGTGCCGTCATCTATTAAGTGCTTTCAGTAGAAAACATCTGAATTGAAATAACGTGACTTTCGGTTGGCATTAGAAATTCGTATAAGTTAATCGGGGCTTCTTGTCACTAATCTTTCTACATCTCATTCTGAATTTCATCTTCTTAACACCGTTGTCGAGATTGAAGAAAGATGGACGGACGGACGACAGTAAGCATTTATAGGTCTACAACTTTTTATTATATATTGTTCATACAGCAATTTATAATTGTGTAAGAAGTGCAAAACAAACACGATTAAATTTCCACAACAAATAAAATTATTTATTTCTAATTACAGAAATTAAAATTGATCACAATGCTAGTATAAGACCGAATTAAAGTGATTATAACTTAATTTTAATCATCTGATGACGTCGGTTTCCTCTTTTTCTTGACAATTACTTTCACTTTCTTGGCACGGTTTGCTCGATCAGTCGATTGCTCTTCTTGCTGAACTCGGGTTTTGTATAAGGATTGTTCGCCCCGCATTTCTTGCTTGATGCTCTTCTCTGGTGTCTTCTTTTGCTTGACTCTAATTGGCAATTTTGTCTTTTTCTTGACTCGAGTAGGTTCTTGAGTTTCTTCTTTGTCTTCTGTAGGTAATTCTGCACCTTTCTTGGACTTTATGCCCAACGAAGACATTCGCTGTTTCATGTTTTGAATCGGCGATCGCTTTTCTTCTTTAGATTTCTGTTGCGATTTGACCACCTTCTTCTTTTGTATTGTCGTTAGAACGTCTTCGGTGTTTTTTGGTTTCGATTTTCCGGGAAGATATACTATAGCTACAATTATTAGTACAATGAAAGGCAACGGTGACATATAGTACCATGCAATGTAACTTTTCTTAGAAGAACAGTACCCGTTACTGCCAAAATAATAACATATGAATAAAATTATATAGTAAAATAAAAGTAATTGAAGTCACATACCTCGTGCATATTCCAAAATTCTGATCGCAAAGCGATCCTTCTACATTTACGTACAGTTGATGATTGGACGGAACGTATCCAAGCGACTGAGCACTTTGACAGATTTTGGGTTTACTTTCGCAACAAATATGGCATTCCCATTTTAAAGACAAACAATTGCAACTCTTTAGCTTATTGTCTTCACAGACGTTGCTAATACATTTTCCGGAACGACATGTTTTTGCTGTTCCTAAACACGGTGATTGGTCTGGCTCCTGTATCAACGGACAAAATGGCGACAGTTTATTACATTCATTAGAAGTGTTGTAACATGGTACGTTGCTGAAACACTTTACGTTGTCGCGCGTGTTCATTCTGCAATTCAAATCGCAACATTCGTCTGTAGCAGGGGAACAGTCTTTTCCTTCTTGAATCGTGCATGGTAATGAAGAGTTTCTGGACGTACAGCACGTCATCTCTATGTCACATTGACCGGTAGAATCATCACAATCGCAGGATTCTCCTTCCTCCACAATTCCGTTTCCACAAACTGATCTTTGCAGTGTCTTCAGGCAGTAATCTATTTCTAAAAAATAAATACAAAATTATACAAGTTTCAATGACACAGTTAAAAAGCAATTACTACTATCGACGGTCACCAAAGTTTAAATAAATGCAGAGCAATACATCCAGCAAATGCATCGAAAGGATATGACGAGACCACCGATTTGGAACTCACGAAAGTTTTCGATTTTATTTAACTTTACCAAAATGTCGTAGTGTGCCGATTCCATGGTAAGCATAAAACCGAAAATCTCGTGTTTAGCAAAATGTTTACGGAGACTGAACGTCATTATTAAGTATAAATAGAAAAAAAAGGAAACAACGAGCTAGAATAGCCTATACTACATAGAGTTGTTATGACCGTGGTTACAGCGCTCTTGGTGGCAACGACGGGTACTAGCGACCGCCATTCTATTTTAAGTCAAAACATCGAAGTCTGCACTACGTGTTAGGTAGGATTGTAGGATTGGTTGTTATCTTTCAGATTTGAAATTTAGGCAATTAGATAACAACATAAACCTAGTTTGTCTTTTCTCGGATTTAGTTGTTTTCTAGCTTTTATTTAATTATTACAAAAAAGTAAGATCAGTGTTTAAAGTGGAAAGTGTAGTACTTAATCTTCAATATAATAACTTTTTTATAATCTAACAAGGGGACTTTACGGTCTCGAAAATTCAGTTCGGGATTAGTCTTTGCAGGTTACTAGTATACCACAAGGGTGTCTACCCAGAAGAATTGTAAAGCGCACTAGCAACAAGATTCCGAGAAAAAAAGACTCTAAAGTTTTAAGCGCAGCTCATATACCGATCGATTTTACACTATTGCAGAATAGCGAAATGGCTGAGCCTTTAGCGACGCGGACGATCTAGGTTCGATTTTACCTTCGGTTAAATTTTTTTTTTTAATTGTTTTAAAAATTGTAACAACTTTTAAATGAAGTTAATGACCTAAAAATATTATCAATTAAATCATAAATAACTGTCAACTTTCACACCTGGGAGCTAATTATTCCGTGAGTTTTCGCAAGTCAGCAGAAAAAGTGGCACTTTCACATAACTTTCCGACTTATCCTCTTAAGTTCATCGGTTGAAAATAACAAGGAATTGAAAAATTCTTCAAATTTAAAACGAATATTTTTAACCTCTCCATACCTTAAAATATTTTTAGAAAGTTGAATAATTTCAAATGAATTTCTAATAAGGGTAAATTAAAACTTTAATTTTAATTGAAATTTTAAGATATTTATAATCGATCATTGCAGCAAGATGATACCTATTATGTCATTACTGTTCATACTATGTAAATATCACATATTAAACCAAACATCATTTAATTGTTCTTACCTTTCCTTTCTAAGTATTGTTTGATTTTTTTCTTGCAATATGGAGAAAATTTTAAATTACTTGAAGTTATCCAAAGGGGAATGTCGGGATGCATGATGTAATGTCCGTTGGTATCATTTAGTTTACAATTTTCAGGGTCGTGCGGGCAACCAAATGCATGGCCCATTTGGTGTAGTACATTGGCGGCTACTTCAACTTTTGGCAATAGGAATCCACGTTCTATATCCGTAACGAATCCCACATTATTCATGATCTTGGCATCTTCGTGCCCTTCACGGGAGCATATTCCTCCTCGCTTTTTCACTTTTCCAACCGAATACGTCGATTCGGTCCAGAAATCCCTATGACAAAAGCAGATCAACATGCAATAGGGATGAGAATAACGAGCTAATTGATCTAAGTAAGTCGTATGAGTGTAGTTTATATTTTGCCGAAAAGGATAGTTCGGGCTGTCTTCATCTTGGAAAATTGTAACCTTCTCCACGTTAAACCCTATATTATCTGCAATTCCATCTTCGTCTATGTCTAAATTTTTAAAGATATTATTTGCGTTCATGATGTAAAACATCATTTGTGCCACTATTCTCTTGATGTTATTATTCATTCTTTTAAAATACGTGTAGTCTGCCAAGAGTTCTAACGAACAACTCCTTTTACTGCTACAAAATAAACTATATAATTAATTTTAAATATGCTCGTATGGTACGTAATAAATGTAAGCAAGCCTTACCTTTTAGTATTCTTAACACTTAATATAGTTTCCATCAATTTTGCGTAATTGCAGTCGGTTCCTTTTAATTCGGTATCATTCGTTACCTCGTTACAAATAAAATTTGTATAGTGGCGTTTAAATGTATATTTAACATCTATCAAATTATAGACAATAGATTGTTCGGTATACCTTAGATCGAAAAGATAATCAGTATAAGGTTCGATATAATAAGCTTTGTCGGGGAATTGTAATCTTCCGGTAAACTTATCATTATAGAAATATCCAAAAAGGCTTTCACTTTCTACGAAAAACAATCCTCGAATATTTTTCAGGTGATACTTGTATACATTCTTTCCTGTACACAGGTAGACTTTTGTCGCGGCCGAAAAGATGGTAGAGTTTCTACTGCGACGAAATTCTTTTATTCCGAATAACGGCGAATGGAAAATAACAGAGATTTCTCCGTAACTAAATAAGCGAATTGTCACCCATATGTCTTTGTACTCACTTATTTTGTATATATTTTCATATTTGGCTCGGCTGTAAAAATTCATCAAAGTTATTATCCCAATTTTCATTAATATGTTAAGCCAATACATTTTCATCTCGCAGATTTTCGAATCAAACATTCTTATTAACGTTTTCGTTCTATTATTTAAATTAATTTTAAATTGTTTCTAAATAACCGTCGTTTATAATTTTAATTGATTGAATTATTTTAAATATACTGTATTATTAATTGCAATTTAAAAACATTGTAGCTTGTACATTCTCACTACTTTTGTTCGTCTGTCGGTCTGTCTTTTCTTAATTTCGAGAAGGAAGTTAGATAAACAAAATTCGAAATCAGATATGGAAAGGTTATTGAAGTACAATGGGACCACATTTTATGTTAATACAGATAATAGTATAAATTATGATTATTATATTATTATTAATATTAACTACTTTTTACTATACGATAAGTGCTCATTCTTAATGAAAAAGTATTAAAAATTTATAATAATAATTCAATTTTCGTGGCACTTGACATTTGGTGGCACAGAACTTAAGCTCTATTAGTTACTATGTAGATCCGCTCCTGATTAGGAGCTATTTCATTCATGTGTTTAATCAGAATTTATATCACCATCTTACAGAGTTACTACATGTTGTTCAGTGGTTTTATCCACTCAGTCACAGTTTCAAGTTTAATTAACATTGAGTTTTAAAATTCCATATCACCCCCTTTTTGAACTCTTATATTGTTCCCAGTGTTTCTTACATTTGTAAGATCGAAAAATACGTTTTAAAACGTTTGTTTTTTTCAATTAAATATTTTACTGGTCACTTAAAAGTTTTTGTGAGTCTATTACATATTGTACCAGTACCTGTTAACGAGTGTTTAACTTTTACACAAGGTACAGTAGAACTTCGATTATCCGAACTTCTGTTAGCCGGATTTTCGATTATCCGGATTGCTCAAAATAAACAAAAATTTTACGAACTTGCTGATTTGCACTTGGCGAATTACGATACTGTTTATGTACGTGATGGAATGCATAATTTTTTTTATTTCAGCAACGTCACGTCTCACCTGGCACAGTGGCCATAAACTCTTAAATATATTTCGCGTCGTAATAAAAATATAACTTGACATACGTATTTATAAATAATTTATATTCAAATTACATCATTTCTATGACCAAGGGCGGCGTAAGGCATGGGCAACGTGGGCTACCGCTTATGCCTCGCGTCTCGAAGGTTTATGCATTACTTAAAAGCCGAGAACGCGACGAAAAAATTTTTCTCGTCATAAAACGATAAATAGTTTGTCAAATTTTTATTCATAAAAATGCAGTTTCAACTGCTGTTTATTTTATAAAATCCGTCTTCTTGAGCCACCAGAGGGCCTTTTAAACAATAGGTAGTCTGTTAGCGCTGGTCAGTAGTAGACCAAATTCAATACGAACGTTTGTTTGTTGAAAGTTTGATCACGATTTAAATACAGTATTTATTCTTAATATTACCGATATACCATCGAAAAGAAAACCTGTTGTATTATCATTAAAAGACAAATTAAAGTATTTGTTTCGATTATCCGGATTTTTCCTTATCCGGACTACCTTCATCTCCAATTAGTCCGGATAATCGAGGTTCTACTGTATTTGTAAGATCGGTGAGAATTATAAGATTTCTATATCTGACTGTTTTTATGATACTTAGGATTAGTGTCTAAAACACATACACATATATTCTTCTTATCCAACTTTTCTTTTCAGTGTTCAAATTCTGAAAAAATAATTATTTATTCTATATATCTTCGAATTCGTACACATTAATAAATACGTTAATTTTAAATGTAACATTGCTCTCTCGCTCTCTCACTCTTTACATAACTTATTAAGCAAACTAAAGGATAAATACAAGATAAATATAATTAACTAACATCTAGGTCAATTACTTATTTAAATATACCTTTAACTATTTAATATCCAGAGAGAGTTTACATTATATAGTGAAATATACATACTCTATATGGTTTACATACGTTTTCTTTTCTATTGGATGAGAATAAATTCATCCTAGAAGTTGTCTTCAATTTGGCGATCAATATTCAGAAGAGAGGCTGAACAGAAATGGAAGACACAAACCAAATTATACAGGATCTTCTAATGAAGGCATCTGCGCAAAAATGGCAGTTACTAATCTTTTTATACAAAATTTGTCTCCAATCTTGGTTAATATTTCGACTATCTGACAGGATAACTAGATGAGTCGTGTTAATNGATCGAGTGAAACTAAGCAACAGTTTTGAATTGTTTCTTAATTAAACGACCACAGTTATTTAAACAATGCTATAGAACCATCCAGTCACATTTTTGAATTGAGGAGTAAGCAGTTTTTTCCTCAGTATTACGAGATACGCATAACAAGATTTTCTTGTTGAGAGAAGTAAATAAAATCATTAAAAAGTGGAACTTGGTCGCGAAATTCAGGCGTGAAAACTTTATCGCAAAAGCTATTTTCAAGTTACTCCAGAAAATTGGAAAGATTGTGTTTAAAGCACAATGAAATTACACAAAAAATTGAGAAACAGATGACATTGTTATTCGAAAATGGGAGTAATAGTCACAACTAGGATACCTATTAACCTAGATGAAGATAGTTCTGATGAAGATCCTGCTAACTACAGTTTGGACTGGGATAATACGCCATTTTAATTCAGGTGTAAGAACTCCAAATTTAAAATTTTTCGCCTAGTTTTGTCTACATTTTTATATTACTACTGGCTGTTACCCGCGACTTCGCCCGAGGAGGTTTTGCAAGCAAACCATATTTATATTTAGTATTTTAACAACCATAGAAATTGTTATATAACACCTACCACTGAGAATGATGAGAATTGCCGAGAATCATGCGAATTGTTTTCAATTTGATGAATTTTCTGGAACGTGTACAATCGTTCTATAATCGAATCAATAAGCAAAATAAATTCGAATTTAAAAGCGTTCGAACATTTGGTTAAAAAATCGAAATACATAAAAATATTTATAACAATGTCTGAAATGAAATGCTCTTTCTCTCTCTCCTCCCGCGGGGGAATTTCGAAAAATCCCTTTTTAGTGTGCATTCCCATGGCGTACCCTACTAAAACGCAGTTAAAAACAAAAAATCGCCTCTAAAATATTACAATAGAAACCGTTCTTCCGGTTTAGCCTTAATCCTCTCCCTTTCCCCTTCGCCTGGGAATTTCGAAAAATCCCTTCTTAGTGCGCGTTTTCATGACGTACCCTAACTGTGTACCAAATTTCACCTGTTTAGGTTCAACGGTTTGCTGTGGGCGATGATGAATCAGTGACTCAGTCAGTTAGTTAGTCAGGACAAGTAATTTTATATATATAGATTAAAAACAGCCATTTTCGAGACCATTTAGGTATCGCACACACAATAGGTCTGATTGGTGTTATTCCAACATTAAACAGACGAGTCTTAATTTGGTAATTGGTTGTGAAAGTCAGAAGTACTGTACCTAGAAACCAATCTGATAACTTAGGTCAAAGTCCTTAAACTTATCTATCAGTTTTTGTCAAACACTAAAAAAGTACTGAGAAATACAAAATATTTTTGTCTTGTCAAATAAGTAATTTTTTAATATTCAGTGCCAAACCAAACAAAATTATTCACTTAGTGACTACCTTTAATATGAAGTAAATTAACAATTATTAGTAGCTTAATAAGTTCTGTGCTTCATGTCAAAAATATCTGAAATTTTGCAGGGAGGTATGTGTGTTACAGTGGTTGGTGCTAATAAATTTTGGTGATTAAAATTCAACAGAATAGAAAACTAAAGGTGTGTCATTTGTAGTATCTCCAGTAGAGTTAGACTTAATAACGATTTTTCTCGCTATTAGCATTTACAATATTGTAAAATAAATCCCATTCCTATCCTACAAATTAAGCTTTTTTTCTATTTTGAGTTTTTTAAATAAAATAGCATAACAGATGGCGCCACAAAACTTTTAAATGTTGCATGGAAAGTTAAACAACTCGTTANGCCTATGTTTGAAATTATTCTCCGTTGCGTGTCGCTTCGCGTTAAATTTTCGTCGATGTTAAGCTTAACGAAGACTATTGTATCGTTAAAAATAATATTTTTTATTTTGTACAAAAAAAGTAAATATATTGAAAAATATAAAAACAATAAAAAAATTATACTTCAGAAGTTAATTTAGTATCAAAAACGTAAAATATTTGAGTAGCCCAAAACATAACCAAAAATTGCAGCGCCACAGCACTGGCGAAAACTTAAATTTGCCGACAGGAATTCTTTCGGATAATCGACGCTCTACTGTATATAACAGAAGGCAAATAAGACTAAGACTAAGACTAAGAAAAATAAGAAGAAAATATACTTACGTAAGTGTTATTAATACATAAGATTACATATAATATGTTTTACATTACTTTTTAAAACTTTTTTATTTAACACAATAAAAAATCGTTGGATATTATTTTTTATTCATTTAACTTTATGCAGCATTCACAAACAAAATAAAAATGCTGTAAACAAACGTAGATATTGAATTTTTCACAGGAATATTCATTTTTCCTGTTTTTCAATATCTACATCATGCTCTTTTCAGAAATGCTATGTTCAACATCAGAAAGTCGCAATAAAAGTTAGATTATTTTAATGTATCGAAATCGAACTTCCGAAACAGCACTTTTGCCACTTCTTTCTTTACTTACTTTATAAATAACCAGAACATAAAGCGAGATATTACAATTGTAACAAAAGTTGCCTCCTTAAAAGTTGTTTCCCTACATAACAATAGGTGTTTGTTAAAAAAACACTGTTATATACAGGGTAAGTTTTTTATCTTGAGACAATGAAATAACTTAATTGAACCTCATTATTTTGGAAAAAAATTTAGATAAACAATGTAAGGTTTTGAAGGGATGATCAATTGATAATCTTGGACGTGACCTTGACCTTGACCTCATTCATCGCAGGATTACAGAAATTAGTATTAAAAATTTACATTTCTGGTTGTAGACAGTTGCAAAATGCAAAAAGATAAATAAAACTAGAGAAGAAAACGAAATTTCATCAATCACCATATTTTCAAAATGCTACATTCAATAGAAATTAGGAAGTTATTAATCGTACATCACAAAATGTCTTCAGACAAACCTTACATGGTAAAGTCTACTATTCATATATAGCACAATTGTAATACATTGCTAACTGTGTATGTATCTAAACACACGTAAAAAAGTACAGTACAGGCAAAATCAAATTTTTTAGCTACATTATAATTAAATAGGTCCTTAGTCGTTTGTTTTCGAATCATTAATAATTG